AAAGACTCTAGTCAACCGTAAGCTTGGTCTGAACCAATACATTGATTGGCCTCTTCAACAACAATAAAAATCCAATGCACTCGAATTTTCAGCCGTTAGAACTGTCTAGCATTGAAATTAACGGCCTGAGAAGATAGTTTCTAAGTTGTCACTAGATGTCCTAAAGCAAAAGCTATATAGTCACCTACAGGGATGTCACTGAGGGAATGCGGGGAAGCACAGACTCATTCATTCATTCATTCATTCAACACGTATTTACTGAATGCCCCTGGTGTATGCTCGGATCTCTTGAAGTAGAGGCTGAGACAAATGTCGACAGGCTCCTTTTCAGGGGAGGAAGCAGGACGGTGCAAATGCAACAGAGGCTCTACAAAACCTTGGCCACAGGGAGCCTGGATCTTTGGAGAAAACGTGGCCCATCAGAGTTCCTGCGTTGAGCTAAAATAGCTAGGCCTTTGTACTTTCCAACTTGATTAGTCATTGGATGTGGGCCACTCAGGGAAGGAAGCCTGTGTTCCTGGAGGAGAAGCCTCTGTCCCTAGAGGAGCTGACAGCTGGAGATGTGTCCTTCTGTGTCCACCACAGTCTACTGTGTGCCAAGCAGTGTTTTGACATTGAAAATACAGCAGTCAACAAAACAGTAGCAAAGCTCAAGCAAGAGCCAGCATTCCAGTGGAAGGTAAGAAGAGAACTTTTTAAAAAAAATTTTTAAAGTTTCATTTAAGTGATCTCCACACCTAACACGGGGCTTGAACTCACGACCCCAGTATCAAGAGTCACATGCTCTTCCGACTGAGCCAGCCAGACGCCCCTGAGCACTTTTAGAAAATATTTAAATGGGTGTGTAGCGCTTGGTGATAAATTTTTTTTTTCAACGTTTTTTATTTATTTTTGGGACAGAGAGAGACAGAGCATGAACGGGGGAGGGGCAGAGAGAGAGGGAGACACAGAATCGGAAACAGGCTCCAGGCTCCGAGCCATCAGCCCAGAGCCCGACGCGGGGCTCGAACTCACGGAGCGCGAGATCGTGACCTGGCTGAAGTCGGACGCTTAACCGACTGCGCCACCCAGGCACCCAGGAGAAAGAACCCTGTAGACATGGAGGGCTTGAAGGGGTCCAGGCACTGAGTGAGTGCAAAGGCTTTGAGGACGAGTCAGGACGTCACTGTGGCGGGAGGGAGTAAGGAACAAACAGTAAGACAGGGGCTTAGAAGAGTAGCAGGGGACCAGATCGGGCAGGGCCATGAGGCCATGGTTACACTCGGAGGCCATGGTAAAGACTCATGGTGGGAAGACACAACGGTGGTCGTTTGTTAGACACACTGCCTCCGCTTAGCGTCCCGCTTCATAGAGGAGAAAACCAGATCCCATGGCAAGGGTAGGATCAGTACCAAGCTGCATAGGTAGAAATCCTAGAGAAAGTCAGAGTGGAGACAAGATACCGGATATGTCCATTAGGATGCATTGGGCTGCAGGTTAGAGAAACTCTAGATTCAAAGAGGCTTCCGTAAAAGGGAATTTAATAACTTCGCATGACTGGGAGACCAGAGTTGTGGGAGCCCTGGGCGCAGTTCCGTGAGTGGCTCAGTAATGCTCCTTCTGTCTTTCCATCTGTCGTCCTTGGTGTATCAGTCAGGATGGGCTAGGATATGCTGCCATAATAGATCCAATTCCAGTGGCTAAATTTAAGAAGCAGACGTCTAGTTTTACTTCACGTCCATGGCCGGCCACCATTTCTGTAAACTGGGGGGCTGTCCCTACTGCCATCAGTCACAGGCTGACAAAGCCACGCCCACACATTGCCAATCACCATGCCAGAAGAAAATGAGAATTCTACGGAGGGTCTGGAAGTGCTGATTAAATGCTCTGGTTCGGAAATAACATACATCATTTCTGCCCACGTTTTGTCCACCCTCCTACTCACAAATGGGCCAGAGATTACAAGTCTAATATATGCCCGGGAGGCAGAGATACTCAGCGGCCCTGATGATTATCAAAGGAAGTGGTCAGCTTCGACTAAGAACTAGTTGCCCCCCACCCCCACCCTCCACCTCCCTGCAAGGTCAGCACATTCACAGATACAACACTCAAAAAAGTGGAGGAATTCTCACCATTTTTGAGAGCGAGGATCATTTCCCCAGCATCTCCCAACGCTTCCCTCAGTTTGTATTGGCCAGAAATAGATCACGTGTTCATTCTTAACCAACCACTGGCCCAGGGGGAATTATCATGGTTGGTTCATAATTGGGATCTATCCAATAGGGATTTACCTTCTAGAGCCAGAGATTGGGTCACTTTCTCTTGAGCCTGTGGGCTGGCTGGCTGAAGTCGGTACAGGTGTTGAAAAGATAACTCTTCTCTGGCACTTTTTAATGAGTTAAACCCACAAAGGAAGGATACTTTCATATGGGCAACAATTCAGGTATTGCAACCAGAAGGAGAAAATAGAAAAATGGATGCTGGTGGGCAAATGGATGTTGGTAGGCAACGAACCTGATCTACCACGAAGGGCAGAAGAGGAGGGCTGGGAGTGCCAATAAGAAATATAATGCAGGGGTGCCTGGCTGGCTCAGTCAGCAAACTGTGAGACTCTTGATCCTGTGGTCATGAGTTCGAGCCCCACGCTGAGTGTAGAGATTACTAAAAAATAAGTAAAGCTTAAAAAAAAAAAAAAAAAAAAAAAAAAAAAAAAAAAAAAAAGAAAGATAATGCACTGCAGTGAGGGTTGGAGTGAATAACCTTGAAGATCCTATCCAATCCTGAGATGCCATTATTTTCTGTGAGTCTGTTGACGTTCCCATCTGTGAGCACAGGGGTTCAAATCACATTTGCGGGTGGGACTATCTGAGGAACCAAACCCATGTCCCTCACTAGTACCACCAATCAAATCTTATTAAAGTTCTACATGAGGAAGATACGCTTCTAACCCATTGCTAGGTTGCTTCCAGATGTGGGGTAGGCAATGCTGGAATAAAGAAGGGGCGGGGAGGTGGCCTCGAAAGCTCAGGGGAGAGGAAAGGAAGGAAACGACTTAAAAATTGCACATAGTCTAAAAGTCAAGAATATGTTCTTATGATTTCCAAATGTGTATCTTTTCTTGTCTGCTCTCTGGAGCTTGAAGCCCTTGTCTTCACCATGGGCATCGACTACCAATAATCGACTTCAGCCCTTCGTCAACTTTTACCTGCATCAGGAGAACAGCTTCCAGATTGCTCTTCTGTGCCCTGGTCCTTACTCCGGTCGACTGAAGAGATCCAGCGATTGGGTCAATCTGACAGTGTCCTGGAGCGGAACCCACCAATAGGTCTGGAGGGTTCTGCAGTGGAGGGAATGGGGGTGGAGGGAACGGCGTGGGGGCAAGTGCACAAGAAGAGGGAGGGAGGGGCATCCCAGAATCCGCCCCTGGTGCCTTGGAATCTGGGCTCCAGCTCTCCCATTCATCCATTCTGGAGTTCCAAGGAGCGGTTCTCTGCCTTTCTGGCACGGGGGCTCCTCAGTCCGGGTCACGCAGGAGCCGGACCTAACAGCCTTCCCACAATCTCTACGGCCCACGCTCTTGACAACGGCCCCTGCCTTCAACCTAAGCCACCCCGGCACTTGCACAAAAGGTCAGGACACACAGGCAGAATCCTGGCAGTGGCCGCTGCTTTTTGTTCTCATTTCCCCCATCTCCTCCATGGACACACGCCAAAGATGATTACGACTCCCTCTTGAGGTGGCCTCAAGGCTTCGACTCGGACCCGGGACTCCTTTCCACAGATCCCATGGGCAATCACACAGGAACACTTCTCTCTCCGCACGCCCCCCCCCCGCCCCCCTTCACCTACAGCAGATGCATTTCAAAGCTGAGTCTTAAGAGGCTCAGGCAGCTTCTTCCAACTCCGCCTCAACGCTCTGGAAAAAGTCCTTGAAAGAGGCAATAAAAGGTGCCACCCAGCGCGGGGGGCGGCTTGCGCCTGTGTTAGGGTTGCGGTTGGGGTCCTGGGGCGGGGGGGGGAGA